TTTCTTTTCTTTCTTTTTTTTTTTTTTTTTTGTTGTTGTTGTTGTTTTTGTTTTTTGAGACAGGGTTTCTCTGTGTAGCTTTGTGCCTTTCCTGGGACTCACTTGGTATCCCAGGCTGGCCTCAAACTCACCTGGCTCTGCCTCCCAAGTGCTGGGATTAAAGGTGTGCACCACCACCACCCAGCCACACTGTTTTCTTGCACACAGAACTGTCATAAGTTGGGAAGCACCTTTTTATCTGAGCTACAGACATCATTGTATTTATTTATTTTTTTAATATGTAAGTGTATGGGTGTTTTGCCTACATGTGTGCTGTGTAATACATGTGTGCAGTGCAGTGTCTACAAGGCCAAAGGAGACTGTCACATCCCCTGGGACAAGAGTTACAGATGTTTGTGAACCACCAAGTAGGTGCTGCTCGGAATTGAACCCAGGTCCTCTGGAGGAGCAGCCAGTGAGCTTAGCTGCTGAGACTCTTAACTGCCATGCTGTTGTAGAATATTATTTTAAGGTGTGTTACTTTTGTTTATGTTGCATTTGTTTAACTCTGTGAAGCTGTGTTGCTGTGCCTGTCTATAACACCTGATGCTCTAGCAAAGAACTGAGTGGCCAATAGTAAGGCAGGAGAAAGGATAGGTGGGGCTGGCAGGCCGAGAGAATATACAGAAAGAGAAATCTGGGAGAGAAAAGAAGTAGCCAGAGAAGGAGGAGGACTCCAGGGGCCAGCCACCCAGCTACCCAGTGAGCCACAGTGTAGGAGTGAGACTTACAAAGTATTAGAACAGGAAAAGTCCAGAGGCAAAAGGTAGATGGGATAAGTGAAGTTAAGGGAAACTGGCTAGAAACAAGCCGCGCTAAGGCTGGATGTAAATAACTAAGAATAAGCCTCCACGTGTGCTTTATTTGGGAGCTGAGTGATGCGCCCCCAAAAGAGAAAAAATAAAACACCATGCCCTGATATTTTTCCATAGCTAATTTTTTGATACTTGGGGCAAGCCCAGTCTTACCCTTGATCAGTCCTGATAACTGCATGTGAAGTAAAATACCTCACACAAATACCATGCCATCCCATTACCCTGTTCCATTGCCTCCGTGAGTCTACATCAGTAAGAATTTCACATTCATGACTTTGGGCTCTGGAACATCCTGCCTTGTCTACTATCTGCTGCTATAACAGTGCCAGACTGAGGATTGAAGGGGCTGGAAAGTCTGAGAGCATGGTGACCTCTGGCAAGGCCCTTCCTACCATGTTTTTTTTTTTTTCTTTACTCTTTTGGTGGGGCCTGCCACTGAGCTCCCAAATAAATCACACACCAAGGCTTATACTTAATTATAAATGTCCAGCCTTAGCTTGGCTTGTTGCTAGCCAGCTTTACTTAAATTATTCTACCTTTTGCCTTTGAGCTTTTACCTTTCTCTATTTCTGTATACCTTTCATTATTTCTTACTCTATGGCTTGCTGTGTAGCTGGGTGGCTGACCCCTGGAGTCCTCCTCCTCTGGCTACTTCTTTTCTCTCCCAGATTTCTCTTTCTGTATATTCTTTCTGCCCACCAGCCCTGCCTATCCTTTTTTCTGCCTTGCTATTGGCCACTCAGTTCTCTATTAGACCATCAGGTGTTTCAGATGTGCAGAGTAACACAGCTTCACAGAGTTAAACAAATGCAACATAAACAAAAGTAACACACCTTAAAATAATATTCCCCAACACTGCTACATCCTAACATGACAGAGGGTAGATATCTCACGGTGAGAAAGAAGGAGCATGCAAACTCAGTTGTCATCTTCTTATAAAGCCACCAATGTTATCATGGAGCTACACACTCATCACTTACTCTACCTGCCTCCAAAGGACCCATCTCCAACTATCATGGATGTATGGATTGGGGTATTGTGTTGTCAATATACATTCTTTGAGACACATTTGCTAGTAAATTCCTTGGGAAATAAAACCTTGTCTCTCCTGTTCCTTGCTGAACCTCCAAGGCCTAGAGCAATATGTTGTTCCCACTAGATCCTATTTATTGACAATATATTTCATGTGTCCCAAACTCCTCCAAACATGTTTCTGCCATTTTCCTGGACTTTGTTATCATTTGTTTTGTTTGTTTGTTTGTTTTTGCATTTCTTTTGGTCGTTGCTCTGCTTCTAGCAAGATGGAGAAATGAGAAATAAAGAATATTTAAAAGGGTATTACTATAGAATCCCATCCAGTCTATGCTACTGGCAGTGGGGCAGAAAGCCAAGCAAAGCACTTCTCAAGGGCAAACCCCCTTAGGCTCAGTACCCTTCATGAGTGCAGCTCCGAAGGACAGCATCCAAAGGAATTATGAAGTCGCCTGCCTGTGACCTATAAAGCACCATATGCCCTGCAGATACTCATTGGATCCCCAAAACTTCAATACACAAAAGATTCTGATATGGACTTTAATGTAATTTGGGAACTGCACTTTGGACAAACACCCTCAGAGTTTCTTATGCAGGTAATCTAGAAACTGTGAACACTTCAGCTAAAAAATGATTAACAAGAGCTTGAGTGGAGGTATCACCAGCTCAAACCAACAAAATAACCTTTCAAAGCTCTGCTCTGAAACTGATAAGGCAAGCCACATTCCATGTCAGTATTCACTGGATGTTTAAACCTAGTGTTCTTTAAAGGGAAACTTTTAGCCATTGAAAATCTTAATAATACCCATTGTCCTCTGGTAGTAACTATGTTCCCAAAGGTTTCATTGGTGGTTTACATATGTGTCATATCTTGCCAATTTACAGATTAAATGCTTAGCTTCGTTTATGTAAATGTAGAAATTATTAAGAAGGGACCCGTGTAAATCAAGCACATCTGTATGCTGTTCAAGTCTGTGTTCTGTGGAGTCTAAACCTCTCACTAATTACTCTTTAATATGAGTAAAACCAATAGGTAAAAGATCTGGTTATGTAACAAATGGAAATGACTTTCTCTTAAATATTCCTTACTTTACAAATAAACTGCATGGGATTTCCTCGCACAGTGAACTTTGATGGTACATTTAAGAATGGCACCCCACCAGCTTCTAAAGGCCAAGCAATCATAAGGATCTTTTTGCATAGCAAATAATTGCTCTTACTCACAGCCACCTATGACAAGTTGGCTCACCATTTGTATATCTCACAGTGACCCCCCCCCCAATGTTGCTGAATCTAGAACTACTTCAGAGTGCATCCCCCAACCAGAATTCTATCCCTCACTACAGTTCTCCTGAATCAGAAGCCCTGGAGTGTAACTTCTAGAATCACCTTTTAAGCTAACCAGGGGCTTTCAGTGAAAAAAAAAAAAAAAAAAATGTGGTTCAGAAGTCTGGTTACACCAAAAGCAGCATTCTGTGAGTGGAAGGGTAGGATGTGCGGAAAGACACGCAGCTTGTGAGCAACAGAATAGACTGGAGGAGCTAGGTCCTTGGGTCCCCCTGATTCCACTGACACCAGGTCAAACTGTGTTTAGTTAAGCTGCACTTAATGCTCTTCTTCATGTGCACCCACAACACATTCCCTCGCATACAGGAGGGGAATAATAACGTTAGTGCCTCCTTCTTAAGAGTTTCTGGGAGGGTTAACTAAGATAACATCCATCATTTAATGTACTTAACAAGGTACCTGTTATATTGTACTTACTGGCTAGGTTACATAACCCCCTTTTTAAAAAAAAAAGTACGCCTGCTTAACCGGAGAGGATTTTCTAAGCCACTGCAGTTTCAACATGTGCAAGAAACCCATGTTTAGCTTTGAAAGTCTTAAGGAGACTCTAAACTCAGGATAAAGGTTTAAATGTATGGCTTCTGGTGTCTTCTTTCTTCCAGCCACCACCTACGTCCGTCCCAAGTCCAGAGAATGATCACTCGGCGGTGAACTAACTTCATAAGCTGGGGCCCGAGGTGTTGCATAGCATCCGAGACTTCATCTCTGGACGCCAGCGATCATCTACGGACAGAAAGCCCCTTCCTCCTCAGCGGGTGCCTCTCGGGCGTCCCGGGGATCGATAGCCACCGGTGCACGGAACCCTGGCCAGAGCCAACGCTCTCCCAGTGTCTCCCCGCTGCAGTCCGTGAGTCAGCGATCAGCGTCATCCAGGCCCCGCGGCAAACAACAGCTGGGCGCAGCTGTGCTGAGCGACCCGCTTCGGTGACCCGCTCGACCCCATTCCACCTCCCAAGACACACACCAGCACAGAAGCGCCATCCCCGGATCTCCGCGGCGGACACGGCGCGGCCTACGAGCGGCTGAGGTCGACCCCGCAGCCTCGTTCCCAGGGGGACAGGGTCAAAGGTGGCCCCGAATGACCCAGCAGGCCCTAGCGGCACCAGAAGGTTAACAACCCTCTTGCCCCGTTCCTCCCAGCCGCGAAAAGCCTGCACCCAGCGCCGCATCCCGCCCCTCCCCGGACAGCTGCCGGAAGTACGTCGCCCCGCCTGCGGGGATGCCGGGAGTTGTAGTTTAGAGGCCTTGGGACGCTTGCGGCATCGTGAAGTTTTATCCGACAAGAAAACACCCCCTGCGACTCTGCAGAACGAGCTGCCTGCTTTCGGCCAAGTCTTAAAGAGAGTCTTGGTCTCCCGCCCGACTCGGCCGAGCGCCTTCGCGTAGCGCGCAGCGCGCAGCCGCAGCCGCGGACTACAAACCCCAGCGTGCCTTGCGGCGCGCCTGCCGCGCCCGACTGTCGTCGTAGGTGCGGGCCGCGTGAATGGAGCTCCGCGCCTGA